ACTTGAAAGCACAGAGCTTGACACATAGTCTGTAAGCCCCACCCCAGGCCTAGAACCTTCAGAGTTACTACTATTGAATATTCCACTCCTCCCATCCTGGCAGATGGTGCTGGTGGTTTATTGAGGTTAGCAGTGGTGTGTAATCCCCTGGAAATAAGGATAAGCATGTTTCTTAAATCCATCATTGTTTCCTCTTACCTTTGTTACCTTATAACAGAACTAAGAAAGAGGCTGTTCCAGCATTTTGCAACTACAAAGGGAACTTTAATAACCTGGCCAAACTACTTTTTTAGAGCTGATTTGAACAGACAAATTCAGGGCTTTGATTATTTGCTGCTATTCTGATGTTACATTAAATCTGTACTTTTATTTTAAAAACACTGTTTGCTCTTATAAAATACTTACAAAGTATTGAAAATTTAGAATGTGGTAAAATGAAATTATTTATATTACAGAAGGAATCTTTCCACAAAGGGATCCTAACTGGAAGGGAGAAAAATATTATTTTGGTAACATGCTTTACAAGTGGGTCTTTTGTTTGAAATAAGATAATTTAGTTCATGGGTCAATGAGATGACTCAGCAGCTAAAGGAACTTACTCCACTAGCCTAGCAACCTGAATTTGGTCCATAGAACCCAAGTAAAGGAAGAAGGCCTTTGTATGAGTACCATGTAAAGATACTCAGGCCATGGCAGGCATGCCCACACACATCATGTGTACACACAGTAAAAATAAATTTAAAGTTGGCTTATAATGAAACTTTTAGGAATACATTACTTACATGAATTCTGTTGTACCCCCTCCAGTTTTCTTAGGTGTGTTTGTAGAAGTATTTTTCTACAGTAACACCTGAGTATTAAGAGTGGGGTTCTGTGCCTCCCTCCAGCCACTGTACTAGAGCAGTATTGGATGTCAGCCTTGGAGGTACTGAAGTCTTGTGGTTATATGTTGTTCTTAGACTGCCTAGACTATAGGTCCTACTTTGGGACTTGTGTGACCTCAGACAAGACACTCTCCTGTAGTCTCAATTTCCATGCCTAAAATAATTGGGTAGTAATTATTTCTGATTCACAGGGTGTTTTGAGAATTAAATAAGTTAGTATTTGGAAAGCTCTTAAATATTGCCTACTTTAATCTAAAAAGACTGATTAAAAAATATAATCTAGCTAGTAGAATCCTTATATCCTGAAAAGGTAAGTTATACTGCATGACAATATATTTTATCTGTTACAAGTTAGGTTTTCAGAAAGTACAGACTTGAGAAATCCAGTGTAGAATATATGAATAATATAGGAGGCAAGGGGAGGATAAGCTTACACTCAGGGCAATGTCAGCTTATATGAGGAGTTCCAAGGATTTGACATGAGGCCAGGCTATCATAGAACCCCACAGAAAATACGAAGACTAGACTTGGGAATTTTTCCAGGGAAGGATATTCGCTGGCAGGGAGGAAGGTAGTTCTAAGATTCTTAACCTTAGAGATACCTAGGCACAGTGGTATGAACCTATCTCTAAGTCATGGCCTCTGAGAACTGAAGCAGGAGGAACAGATAATTGCTGGAAACCAGTGCCAAATTACAGTATAATAGGACCTTCTTTTTAAACATGAGCACACATGCACACACACACTGGGCCGGGGGCCAGAGGATTAAACCTTGGAGAATGTGATCAAAATACTGAAGTTGGAAAGCAAAGTTTGCAGGGAAGATCAATTAATTTAGTTGTAGATATATTGAAAAAGAATCCCAGAATTTGGCTAGCATTAAGAGTTTGCATTTCTTCCACAAGGCAGTGATATTTAAAACATATTGGGAAAGAGTGAATTCAGGAAATTATATAGCTATAAGGAGTAAAGCCAAGATTCAAATTAAAAATCCTTTTCTTAGCTTCTGTGCTACAAAGTAGGAAATCTTTTATTAATTTGTTTTATTTAATTTATGGCCTTCTCATTTTCTAGGTTTGCTATTTTACATCTGCATTTATTATTTTTTTCCTTTTCAATATGATCTGTATTTCTCCTCAGTAGTATAGCTTGACTCGTGAAGGTAGCCATTCCTATGTTTATCTCAGCTCTGTCATTTATCCTATCTGTGGGCACCTCAATTCAAAGGCTGTTCTTGGTTCTGATTTTCCTCGGTGTGCTATAGCACACTTAGAATCCACATTTCTTCTCTTTGCCAGAAATGAGCCGTTCTCTACCTGCTTTGCCTGCTCTGCCTTCTCCCCTGTAGATGCGCTTGCCTGTGGCCATTTTGCTACAGCTCCAACGTGGTACTTTTCTTTTTTAAAAACATATCGAGTAATTCTGGCCTCTGGGTATGTATGCTTCCTGTTTGATAAGTTGTTTTGTTTGAGACAGGCTATCACTATGTAACCCAGACTAACTTTGAATTTATCCTCCTGCCTCAGCTTTCCCAAGAACCAAGATCAGATGCATGTGCTCTCACATTCTGTCCCTCTTGATTAATTCTTGATTCTGTACTCTGTCTCCTCACCTTACTTATCTTTAACTTTACTATATAGTGGAGTTCTGTTTTCCACTCTGGTCCTGCCCTTAATCCAACCTCCAATGCCACAGTCTTTCTCCTAGAAGTTAAATGTGTTCCCAGGAGAGCCCTTGAGCGGTTCTCCATGTCCTCTACTCTTTCATACAGGTTCTTAGGATAAGTAGATGTTTTCTTAGGAAAGAAGTTGTTTGTTCCTATATAGAAGAAACTCAGGAGTGAGAGAAGGTAAATGGGAAATTCTTGTGTAAATGCAGGTAGCCAGCCTTTTTGATAGAATCATAATAATTCGTTTGTATTATGAATATTCAGCAAGCAGTTTGTACTGTTTTTAAATATACCTGTGTTGTGGGGGTGGGGGGGCGTCTGGTATTTTTTGGAACAGGTTTATTTTGTTTTGTTTTGAGACAGACAGTAGCCCTGGCTGTCCTAGACTTGCTTTGTAGACCAGGCTGGCCTCAAACTCTCAGCCTCCCAAAGTGCTGGGACTAAAGGCGTGCACTACCACACCCAGCAGTGAAACAGGTTTTATTAAGACCCACAAGGGGGTTAAGATGTAGTTGGTGTGGTAGAGTGCATGTCTCTCGTGCTTGAAGCCCAAGGTTTGATAATTATCAGTACTGTATAAGTCGGTGATCGTTGCATACTGCATACGTGCAGTCTCAGCACGTGGGAGGTAGGGGCAGGAGGATCAGGAGTTCAAAGTCATCCTTGTCTACGTAGTGAGTTTGAGGCCAGCCTGGAATACTCAGGATTCATGTCTGAAAAAAGAAAGAAAAAAAAAAAAAGTAAAGGTCTATAAGGTAAAGTTCATATTCCTAGGACTTTTTAACTTTTTTTTTTTTTTTTTTTTAGGATTTGTTTATTTATTTGATGTATATGGGTGTTTTTACTAACATTAATATCTACACCCCATGCCTGCCTGGTGTCCATGGAGGTCAGAAGAGGGTGCCATACCCCTTAGAATGGGAGTTACTGATGGTCATGGTGCCATGTGGGTGCTGGGAATTGGACACAAGTCCTCTGTCAGAGCAAAGTGCTCCTAGCCACTGAGCCATCTTTTCCAGCCCCTTCATAAGATCTTTAAAATAAAGTACATGTGGCTCTTGGGGATTAAACTCAGGCTGTCAGCCTTGATGATAAACACTTCTATGTGCTAAGCCACCTCTCTGAGCCATGATCCCAGGCTCTTTTGATTTAGCCTTAGCTTATTGATGCAGTCTCACTTTGGCATCAACCATGCCAACTGGAGTTCCCGTGGAGGTGGCTTCGTGTACTTTAGCCTTCAGTGGCTTTGTTTATGGTCAGGAAAAACTCCAGCTACTCCTACTGGAGGGATCATTAGTTACCTTCCTTCTGAAGTCTTCTTGTAACTCATCCAGGCAGGTAGTGAACATGACAAGATCATCTTTTAATCAGTGGAACAAAAATTGTATGTCAGTTCCTAGTAGACTGTAAGCTCCCCTTGAAATCGTGGGGCCGTGTCTTTTAATTTCTGTGACAGAGTTACATGTTAAACAATTGAATTATAGGTACAGAACCATGTTGAGCAATGCTTGGTAGCTTAGGACTCTTCTAGATATTCTTTTTAATATTCAGTAAATAAGGAAGATTGCATTAAATTAAATGCCCTAGGGAAATTTTTGTTTCATATATAGAAAGGGAAAAAGAATAAGAAAAAGACCCCATTATCGTGATGTATATTATGGGTGCTTTATTATTTTTTTAAATGTGTGGGGGGGTATGGTGGCTCATGCCTTAAATTCCAGCATTTGGGAGGCAGAGACAGGATGATCTCTGTGAGTTAAATGTTAGCCTGGGCCTCATAGTGACTTCTAGGTGAGCTAGGGCTACACAGTGAAACCTTGTCTTAAATTTTTTTAGAATGTGTGTTTGTGTATGTTGTGTGCATGCACGTGTGTATAGCACAGTGTACATGCGGGAGTTAGAGGACCAGTTGGGATGTCATCCTTGACTTCCTCCTCTTGAGATGGTCTCTTTGTTGCTACTTACTGTATATGTCAGGCTAGCTAGCCAGGGAGGCAGGAATTGTCCTGTTTCTGCATCCCATCTTAGGTCAGGTATACCTTGATTATAGACACACGTGCTTGTGCATATGTTTAAGTGGGTTCTGGGATCCAGAATTCAGGTCATTATGCCAGGTCCTCACATTTGCACAAGAAGTGCTTTACCCATTGAGCCATCTTCCAATCTTACTGTTCCATCTACATCCTCAGCTCTTCTTACATTCTCTTATAGTTGATAACTTGTGCTGATAACTTGTGTTCGTAGAACAAATTAGGGTTTTCTTATAGTATGAATAATATTTTGTCTTTAATTAAAATAATAGTTGGCCATAAATTAAAATTTCAATGATTGCCTTTTCTTTCAGACAACCTAAGTTTGACATGGAGATGATTCATTCACTCATGTATGATTAGAGTGAAGAACATTATTTCATATGAAACGTTGTTTAACACGTATCTCTTTTTTAGGCATCTTTCTTAACAAAGAAGTTAAATATTGGTGGGAAAAGAGTAAACCTTGCTATATGGGTAAGTATTGAGAAATCTTTTTTGTTATTTTTGAGACAGGGCCTCACAATGTAGCTCTGGCTCTCTTAAACTCATTCTGTAGATCAGGCTGCCCTCAAACTCAGAGATCTGCCTGCCTCTGCCTCCATAGTACTGGGATTAAAGGCATGCACCACTATGCCTGGCATCAGAAATATTCTAATAACTAACTCACTTGAGGAATAGGAATTTGGATTTCACATTTGTTTTTTAAAAGTAAATATATTACTTGCCAAAACTATTTCCTTAATTAAAAAGTTCCTAAAATCTAATTAAGAAATTTTACTGGACTATAGCTTTATATCTAAATATTGCTGTTATGGTTTTCTCAGTTGCAGAAGGGACAGGGTTGATGGGGCGGCCTGCCTGCAGTCGCTTTCCTACATGCACAGGAGTAGCTAGTAGGACTTAAGCGTGTGTTAGCAGGTGGTCCTGTAGTGTGCCCTGCTTTTGAAGATCCTCAGTTTAGGGCAGGGACTGTTCCTGGCTGCACCATGTAGCAGCTGAATTGGTCTTTTAATGGGGGTGGGAGTTTGCCAAGGAGGAAGAGCTGGGAGGACAAATAATCCTGTACACAGTAAAGCATCACATGAGACTTAAACAGTTGGTTTTTCTGTAACTTGTTTTCCTAATACTGTTTTGGGGTCTATCTATGTAGCAGCCATATGCTTTTTTCTTTTGCTCTAATAAGCATTTGTTCTTTATTAGGATACAGCAGGTCAAGAGAGATTCCATGCATTGGGTCCAATTTACTACCGAGATTCGAACGGAGCTATTTTAGTTTATGATGTAACAGATGAAGATTCTTTTCAGAAGGTATTCTGTTCACTTTGGATAGATGGCTTAATTAGAAGGACCATGACTGTCTATCTACCTACCTATCGATCTATCTATCTACCTACCTACCTTCCTTCCTACCTACCTGTGTACCTACTGTCTCTCGTTAATGTGTCTGCATTCACTAACGACTAGTTTTTAAACAGTAAAGCATACAGTTTGAACATGACTGGTGACCATATTTTCATATTGGAGTATTAATGGTTTATTATGACTTTCTCAAATATTGGAAAAATGAAAATAATTGAAGTTAAGCTTCAGAAAAATGTAGAGACTTTGTTTTTTACCTTTAAGTAAAAACCACTTGCATTTCATTGCATATATACTGGGCACCTAAAACTTAGTGTGTTTCTGTATGGTATCCCTCCTCATGAAGGGGGGAAAAAGTAAGAGTATACTGAAGTCCAAGCTCCCCCCACAGTAAATTCCTGAGATATAAACCTTAGAAAGGCAGTGTTAATTTTTAAAAATTCTTTCCTATTTTTTTAATCCTTCTTCAGATTTACACTGTAAATGTAGAATATTTCTTAAGACACGGTCTTACTATGTAAGAGCCTGGCTGGGCTCTTATAGAGATGTATCTGCCTCTGCCTCCCAAGAACTGAGATTAAAGGCATAAGCCACCACCCTTGGCCAAATATAGGACTTTGAAGCTTATTTGGGACCAAAAATAGGTCAACTGCGAATTTTCAGCATAATCGTGATGAGTTCCTTATTTACCTTTCTTGGGTCAGAAGTGTGTCAGCAGTGTGTAAGGAAAGAGGGTAATTTGCAAGTCAGAAGCTTCTCCAGTACTGTTACAAGTCAGTGCTTATTGAAATGACTTGTAATCTAGTTTTGTTTCTGTTTTTCTCTTTTCCTCTTCAGCCCCCACACCTGTCATTTGTAAAGAAGGAAATACAAATAAAAATTCAAGTTCCCTTTTAGATTATTAATGAGTCAGGAAAATAGCCCTAGAGCTAGAAATGAAACAAATAGCATGCTGATTTAATGACTTTTTTTTTTTTAATTATTTGGAGGCTGCTGTTTGATGCTACCTGTTTCCGTTTCTTATATTTTTGCATAAAAAGCAGTGGTCTAACTAAGCATTGTATTGGCTGAGAGCAAGTTGAATCTTTGAGGTTGAAAAGTTGCCAGTTAGTGAAAGTGAACAGAATCCCAAGCATAGCATGCTGGTAGGCACAAGGATTTCTCATGGCTCTGTAGGTTGCCAGGCAGATCCTACGTTCTTTGTCGCAGTATTGGAGCCACTCAGTGCTGTGAACTGGGAATTTGAATTGGACCTGGTTCTTTTCCAGATGGCCCCTGCTTCCACCTTTGTCCATATGTTCTTGCTTCATTTTCCACTAGAGCCTAAGCTTTTTATATGGCCATTACATTCCTGTAAAAGTAGGATCCACCAGGCCTTGTTACTGTTGAGTCTGGACAGGCACTGTATTCCCTCTGTCATATTCTTGATCAAGTTATAGGACTAGCCAAAATTTCACCTGGTAGAAGGAAAAGAACACAGGACCAGCTTTACCTCATCTTGAAATCCTCCAGGACAAAGATTAGGACACCCATGGACAACTATCTGATTTGTGATGTTAAAATTAGGGTCTGGAGAAATGGCTCTGCAGTTAAGAGCACTAGCTGTTCTTCATGAGGACCCAAGTTCAGTTCCCAGTACCCATATGGCATCTCACAGCTGCCTCTTATCCAACACCCACACACAAAATATATTCAATACACATGAATTAAAAATAAATTTAAAGACAATACAACTTTTAAAAAGACATGAAGTAGTAGATGGATACGTTATCTGTGTGGGAAAAGTGCAGTTGTAGGCAGTTGTAGGCGCTTCTTTGTGATGCAGATGGACACTTAACATTCTATCATGTATTTCTCATGTGAAGTCAACTAAATCAAGCTGTCTTGAGAACACTGTGGTTTACTGTAAGAGAATAATTGCCGTTGGTTTTATAATGATTTACAAGGACAAATCCTCTGCATTATCATAGAGAGTCCCAGTGTAGAACATTTTCATAGAGAGTAGCAGTATAGAACATTGATGTCATAGGTCCAGATGCACAGGAAATGCTTACCACATACTAGTAGAATTTTTTAACTTTCTCTCTCTCTCTCTCCCCCCTCCCTCTTTCTCTCCCTCTCTCTCTCCCTCCCTCCTCCCTATCTCCCTCCTTCCCCCTACTTCTTTCTTGATTTTTTTAAGACAGCTTTTCTCTATATAGCCTTGACTGTCCTAGAACTCACTCTGTAGACCAGGCTGGGCTTGAACTCACAGAAATCCACCTGCCTCTGCCTCCCTGAGTGCTGGGATTAAAGGCACATGCTGCCCCCGCCCCGAAACCTTCACCCCGGGCAGATGTGTATTATTTTAAGAATTTTATATAATATATACATATTATATAAAATTAATATATACATAATATATACATATTATATAATAATATATAATTATTATTATATAATATATAATTAGAAAATAATATATACATATTATATAAAATTTATATAATATGTACATATTATATAAAATTATAGTATATATATATATATATATGCTATGTGAGATTTGATTATGCATAGATTAAACTTCACTGTAAGAATTGAGAGCAGATGTCCTGGTTTGTGCTTTATCATACTGGTTGATTACAATCCCATTATTGTAATAGTTAAGGTTAGTATCGTTAATTCCAGTTTATATCTAACTGTGTCCAGAGTTGAGCATCTTCCTCAGTGGACAAACATTGTTACTGGAATTGTCCTATACCGGAAGTTCACCTGGGAATGACAAAAATCTGGGGACATCTTTAGTTGACACCATGGTAGAATGATGTTGGCTTGATTGGTAGAGGCCAGGGATTCCGCTAAAGGTCACAGATTACATTACACATGAGCAACCTTGCAACAAAGGTTGTCTCAGCCACAGTTTTAGTAGTGCCAACTTAAAGCTTTTGCAAGATACTAAGTAGGGAAATTTCTTTGCCATGCACACCTTTTTACTTTTCTTAAGTCTGTAACATAGACATGCCTATTAGGTATCGAGGGCTGGATCAACAAGACCGTGGTTATTCCATGCTAAGTCCAGAGTGGCTCTGTTACAAGGGCTCTTATCACCAGATACTGGACTGGACAAAGTTTTGTTCTGGCAAAAAGCTTTGCTTGTTGTATGAAAATTTTATTAAAATTTGTAATTAGAGGTGGTTTTTATATATGTATAGATTTTAGGTTTTGTGGAACTAATTCCAATAGTATCTGTTGTCATATTTGCTTTTTTGTGTATACAGGTTAAAAACTGGGTCAAAGAATTACGGAAAATGTTGGGAAATGAAATCTGTTTGTGTATAGTTGGTAAGTATTAGTACTACTTTATTTTTAAAGTCGCTTGTTTCCTAATTGTTAAAGACAAGCAAGTAATTTTTTTTTTTTTTAAAGGGATAGTAGAAAGGAAGAATTATGACATTTTAGTATGACAGTTTTAGACTAGGGGGTTGATTTTCCTGGAAGACTCAAACTCTATATTTCAAAGGATACCTCTGGGAGCCATTGAGGGCCCAGGCTTGCCTCAGCTTTTGCCTTTTTATGAGAAACTTTAGCTTTTTCTTTTCTTTTTTAAAAGAGGAGCTGATACAGTGGCACACACCTGTAATCTCAGCACTCAAGGAGACAGAGGCAGGAGGATCTCTGTGAATTCAAGGCCAGCCTGGTCCAAAAAACAAGTCCAGTATAGCCAAGGCTACACAAAGAAACCCTGTCTTGAAAAAAAACAAATAAAAAAAAAATAAAAGAAAGAAAGACAGAAAGAAGAAGAGCATAAGAACTGCTTTAAGTAAAACAGTGTTCTTGTGTGTACACTTAATGTACACTTAATGTACACACTTACTAAACTGAGAACTTTTTTTTTGTTTTTGAGATAGGAATATTCTTTTTTTAATTTATTTTTTTAAATTATTACAATTTATTGACTTTGTATCCCAGCTGTAGCCCCCTCCCTTGTCCCCTCCCAATCACACCCTACCTCCCTCTTCTCCCATGCCCCTCCCCAAGTCCAGTGATAGGGGCGAGGTTCTCCTCCCCTTCTATCTGACCCTAGCTTATCAGGTCTCATCAGGACTGGCTGCATTGTCTTCCTCTGTGGCCTGGTAAGGCTGCTCCCTTATCAGGGTAAGGTGATCAAAGAGCCAGCCACTGAGTTGGTGTCAGAGACAGTCCCTGTTCAGTTACTAGGGAACCCACTTGGATAGTGAGCTGCCCTGGGCTACATCTGTGCAGGGGTTCTAGGTTATATCTATATATGGACCTTGGTTGAGTATCGGTCTTTGCTAAGACTCCTGGGCCCAGATTTTTTGGTTCTGTTGCTCTCCTTGTTGAGCTCCTGTCCCCTCTAGGCCTTTCTCTCTCCCCCTTCTTTCATCGATTCCCTGCACTCTGCCCAAAGTTTGGCTATGAGTCTCAGCATCTGCTTTGATACCCTGCAGGATAGAATCTTTCAGAGTCCTGTGGTAGGCTCCTGTCCTACAGGAAAACGGGTTTTTTCCCTCTTCCAATGTCCATCCCATTTGCCTTTCTGAATGAGGATTGATTATCTTACCTAGGGTCCTCCTTCTTGCTTAGCTTCCTTAGGTCTACAGATTTTAGTATGTTTATCCTATATTATATGTCTAATATCCCCTTATAAGTGAGGATATAACGTGTGTCTTTCTGCTTCTGGGATACCTCACTCAGGATGATCTTTTCTAGTTACCACTATTTCATGATTTCCTTGTTTTTAATTGCTAAATAGTATTCCGTTGTGTAAGTGTACCACGATTTCTATATCCATTCCTCAACTGAGGGCTATCTGGGTTATTTCCAGATTCTGGCTATTACAAATAAAGCTGCTACAAACATGGTTGAGCAAATGTCCTTGTTGTATACTTGGGCATCTTTTGGAAATATGCCTAGGAGTGGTGTAGCTGGATCATGAGGTAGCAGTATTCCTAATTGTCTGAGAAAGTGCCAGATTGACTTCCAAAGTGGTTGTACAAGTTTACATTCCCAACAGCAATGGAGGAGGGTTCCCCTTTCTCCACATCCTCTCCAGCATATGTTGTCACTTGAGTTTTTAATCTTAGCCATTCTGTTGGGTGTAAGGTGAAATCTCAGGATCATTTTGATTTGCCTTTCCCTGATGACTAAAGACGGTGAACATTTCTTTAAGTGTTTCTCTGCCATTTGATATTCCTTTTCTGAGAATTCTCTGCTTAGCTCTGTACCCCATTTTCTAATTGGATTACTTGATTTGTTGCTTTTTAACTTTTTGAGTTCTTCATATATTCTGGATATTAGCTCACGAGACAAGGATTTTCTATGTAGCATTAGCTGTTGTGGAACTTGCTCTGTAGACCAGGCTGGCCTCGAAATCATAAGAGATCCTCCTGCCTCTGCTCCCAAGCCCTGGGATTAAAGGTACGTGCCTCCACTGCTTAGCCTGAGAATGGTTCTTACTTTAAGGATACAGGTCGTTCATGATTCTGCCATGATAAAATAAAAGACTTTTAAAACCAGTGATGTGTACTCGGTAGGCACTATTACAAAAGTCTCATAACCTAAGAGCCTTACAGGGAAGTGGAGTCCTGGGCATACCTGCATACTTGTCTGCCATCGAGCAGCTGTCAGAGACCACTGATTCTTCCTCCCTTTCTTTATGGCTGATAAGAAGACTGAGCTTGGAGGAACCAAAATAGTTTGGTTTTTAGTTCTTTCTCTCTCTCTCTTCTTTCTTTCTCTCTTTTCTTTCTTTCTTTTTTTTTTTTTTTTTTTCTTTTCTGTGACAAGGCCAGGCATGCTGGTATACACGTTTATATTTAAATTTTTATTTTTTTAAAAATGTATGTGTATGGGTGTTTTGCCGTATGTATACGTATATATAATATGTGTGGACATGCATGCCTGGCATATGTGAAGTGGACTCCTAGAACTGGAGTTACAGGTGGTTGTGAACCACCTACAGGTGGATGGTGGGAGTTGAACCCAGGTCCTCTGGAAGAGTCTCTAGTGCTTTTAACTACCAAGTCACCTCTCCAGCCTGAAGCCGGGATAATTCAGTGAAGGATAAACATGGTGGTTGTTTGGGAGATTGAAGCAGTGGAATGATCTGTGTGGGAAAATACTGCTCTTAGCCCTAGGAACTTATTCGTAACTGGAATTTACTGTTGGTACATCTTGCTACCATTAGATTGGTAACTATGTAGTCTTATGCCAGTGCATGAGTCTGAGGGACTGGAGGAGAGAAATGATTTGCTCCTTTTTATTTTAGATACAAGGAATTAGTCCAGCAGTGATAACTGAAACACTAGAGTATTAGATAATATAGGAGTTTAAGGCCAAACTTACAGCTAATTATTGAGACTTATGTGGCTTTGTGTAGTATATGGGGCCTACCTTGTTTAGAGAGACCACAGGAGGTAAATAACTAAAAGTTATTTTTTTATTAAATATCTTTTGTTATCTTTCTGAAGAGCAAAACTATGTATGGATAGAGAAAAAGTGAAAGAAATGAAATAATCTTTTCTTTTTTGTTTGTTTGTTTTGAGACATGGTTTTTCTGTGTAGTCCTGGCTGTTGTAGGAATAGTGGCCCTTCATGCATAAAAATAAAGACACTAAGACCTTTTAGTATTTCAAAGCTTAGACCTTAGCGGGGCAGACTCTCAACTAGCTCATCTAAGTCAACCCGACCACCTAGCCCCATCCAGCCCTGTAGCTAGCAATACTTTCCAAGCCCATAGTCACATCCATCTCCTCTTATGTTTCTTAGCGAAAAAGTCATCCTCTTTCTTCCCAGATGGTTCCTTTTCCAGGAAGTCCTGCCTTCCACTTCTCTTTTTCTGCCCAACTATAGGCTGTCAACAACTTTTATTATCCAATCAGGGATACTTTATGAGGTAAGGAATACACATTGTCATTTTGGATATGTGAGAATTTGCTCATAGGACAATAAAGATCTTGGGAGGCAAGCAAGTAACATTGGACAGATAGTAGTTCCACATCAACCCCTATACCTGGCTGTCCTGGAACTCACTCTGTAAACCAGGCTGGCCTTGAATCCAGAGATTCTACCTTCCAAGTGCTGGGATTTAAAGGTATGCACCACTACCATCTGGCTTCAAATAATTTTTATATAACAGTTTATTAATAGAGACCATTAATTATGAGTTTTTCTTTCTGCTGGCAAGTTTGACATAAAATTTGGAATGATTTTAAGAACGCATTTACCTTTATTCCTAAATTTTCTTGTTCTTAGGATGAACTTAAAAAGATTAAAGAGGGCTAAGGAAGGATACTTTGAGGAATGTTAAGTCATAGACAGGACTAAGAAAATGTGTTAACTCATCCTCCAACCCTCCTCCTTACCTTCCACAGATGCTTTTGGGTCCTTCCTTCCTTCCTTCCTTCCTTCCTTCCTTCCTTCCTTCCTTCCTTCCTTCCTTCCTTCCTTCCTTCCTTCCTTCCTTCCTTCCTCTCTCTCTTTCTCTTTCTCTCATGAGTGCTCTGACTGCATGTACACCTACATACCATAAGAGGGCATCAGATCCCAGTATACATGGCTGTAAGCTACCATGTGGATGGTGGGAACTGAACTCAGGATCTCTGGAAGAGCAGACAGTGCTCTTAACCACTGAGCATCTCTCTAGTCCCCAGGTGGTTTCTTGTAGCAGATCCTGCAGTACAGTTGATTGAATTAGCCTGGGCATCTTCTGTCCTTGCAACACTATCTGATCTGGCCAGTGGAAGAATCCTACCTAGATTATCATTTCATTACCATTTGTGCACTTCTGCAGGGGGTTCTCCAATTTGATTTCTTCTTTTTGTTTATCTTCTTTTATCTCTGTAACCTATGCTGACTGTTTATGTTTAGGCTTTTTGAGACAAAATCTAACTGTAGCCCATGATGTCTTACACTTACCATGATCCTTCAGCTTCATCCTGTTGACTGCCAGCATTGCTGGTGTGCACCTCCACACCTCACTTTACTTAATGTTTTTAATTTTATGTTTTAAAGTTAGCAATTACAGTAGTGGGGTTCATTATGGTATTTTCATATGTATATGTCATTGTGCTGTACTCCTATTTATCCCTCTCCTGTATGACTTTACTCATTTCTCCTTATTACTTCCTGAGGGTTATGTCCTCGCCCCCCCCCACATACACACACACACACACACACACACACACACACACACACACACACTCCCCACTTGTACTGTTATGTCATATCTAGTTACTTTCTCTTCTTTGCTCCTTACCATCTGGCTTGAGATCCTCTTTTCCACTCATTGTCTTGTAATTCTGTTTCATTTGCCTTATCTATTTGGAGTTGTAAATGCTTCTTGAATTTGGTAATCCATTTCTTAAGATATTTGAAGTTTATTCTATAATGTTATTGGTAAGTTCCTCCATGTCTGTGGTTTATATCTTCCCACTTTGTTCTATCTTGTATGTCCCTGGATTTGTTCTTTTGAGCATATTGTGTTCATGCTTGTTTTTCTTTTCCATTTGATGTGTATCTTCTTTGACACTGTCATCTCAGATCCTCCTTCACATGCTTGTTTGAATCTATTGGTGATATTTCCCATACCGTTTTTTTTTTTAATATATACCGTTTTCACTTCTGTTTTTTCTTTTTCATCTGAATTTACTTGTGCTGTGTTTCTTTCATGTTAGTGCCTTTTTATTTTTATTGCTGATTTTCTCATCCATTTAATTATGTTCTCTATGTTGCTGATTTTCTTCTCCAGGTCCTAGGTTGAAAAATTTATTTTTATCCTCTTTGAGGTCATTCATTATGTTTACTAATAAACTTTTACAGTCTCTATCCAGTTATACCTACTTGAGTATCTTTAATTTAGAAGCTCAGTGTTTTGGAGGGGTCGTGCTGCCTCATTGGTCTTATGTTCTGTGATGCAGTTTGTATGTTGTCTGTTCTCGTCCTCTTGTGCTGTTATTTTAGGCTCTTACTGAATGGCCTGTTCGTAAGGGTTCAGTTCAATCCTGTCAAAATCGAGCACTCTTTGATGAGACGAACTATTACAACTGTAGCAGCAAACTGTGCAAGATATAAGATATATGTAAAAGTCCATTACTATTTCAGCAGTGACCATAAACGAGATAATAAGAAAATACATGTGAGAGTGTGCGAATATAATGTCAGGGAAGAGAAAAGAGCAAGAGATTTGGAAAGATTAAAAACAACGAAAAGTATCCCAATAATGGAAAAGTGTGAAAAACAAATTTAAATTAATGCAAGAAGGGGAATAAAATTGAAAACCTGGGCTAATGAGATGGCTTAATGGGCAGAGGTGTTTACCACACAGTCCTCACAAACGCAGTGCAATCCATGGGACCATGTAAGTGTTAAAAGAGCAGACCAACCCAGTTGTCCACTGACCCCCACATGTGTGCTAGAGCATGTACATTTCCTCACACACATTATACATATATGATAATTTTTTATTTAGGAGAAAGCATTTTGGTTTTTCTATAAAGCAAACACCAACAACAAAATAACTCCCGTAGTAAGTTGAAGTCAAATACTGCTGTAAGCATAGTAGAGAGAAAATGTGTGTTGGAGCAGAAAGGGGTGGGGTGATATTGCCAATAATGATAAATGTATCAACCAAAATGGATAGCATGTGTAGAGGGGAATACAAAGTAAAAGCCTTTAGAAATATGATACTAAAAATACTACGTATGATGTAATGAAACGAGAAAAGGAAGAGATGGCTCAGTGGTTGGGAGTACTAAACTGCTCTTGCAGAGGATATAGGTTTGGTTCCTGTAACCTATGTCAGGAGGCCACAGGGTGCACATATATACACATAATAAAGAATTAAATCTTTTTAAAAGATGTAATAAAAAGAAAAAATATAGGAAAGGCAAAAAGAAAAAGCTGTTGGAGCAACTTCTTTCTCGGTTCTCAACAATTAGACAATTACATTTACATAGGGGAGTCGGGACTTCTGTTGAGCTTAGGGACTCTTGTCTTTCCTACTGTTTATGCTGGCCTTGAGCCTATAGTGGGCAAGTGTCTGATGTTCAGTGGAGCTGATATTGACCTGTGTATGCTGGCCATAAGGTGACAACACTTAGCTCTGCCTTCTATACGTTGGTCAGGGTCTCGGCTCTCTAGCACATAGCTCCCAGGGTGGCTGTCTTGCAGAAGGTTGTCCTCCAATTGCATTGGGATCATAGGAAGCAACTACAACACTGAGATCTGCAAAGTCAGAGGAACTGTGTATCAATTCAAGATGACTTTAACACTGCTCTGCTGGAAGGATGCAGCTGTGGGCATCAAGGAGCCCAGTGGAGCTTAAGTTTTCAGACTTCATAGCTGTAGCCATTGGATAGAGGCTGTTCTACCTACCAGCCTTAGGCTCGGTGTTTGAGATCTGTTCCAGCAGCTGAGGATGGGGTTTATTTTTCCTGTGAACTTTTCTTCCTAGCCTGAGCCTCTTGCCTGTGCCCTTGTCAGCATCTGGCCCATCTGCTCTCTGTACTGCCTTCCAGGACTTGCTTGTCATGGGGCTCTTGCAGATGAAATTGAGCTTCTTTGTTTTGTGATTGTACCCCATTCTCAGGTTCTCAGGTAGCTCATTTCAGACAAGTTCTCTCAAAATGGTGCTGTCCCGTGTGCTGAGTCATGCACTGTGATAAATGGGATACTTCTCCATTTCTGTCCAGAGGATTCCAGAGGAATCACTGTCTCACCAGAAGCCACAGCTGTTGAGAGGTGTTTGAAGGCTATAGGCACATGATGAGGTACAGTGCCAGACTCTCAGGGCATTAGAGTCCTACACATGCCCTGCTCTGGGTTTACACATTTTAACAGTTGTGTCAACTCATTGTCCTTTCCTTTCCTTTTCCTTTTCCTTTTCCTTTTCCTTTTCCTTTTCCTTTTCCTTTTTCTTTTTCTTTCCTTTCCCCCTTTCCCCTTTTCCCCTTTTCCCCTTTTCCCCTTTCCTCTTTCCTTTCCTTTCCTTTCCTTTCCCTTCCCTTCCCTTCCCTTCCCTCTTCCCTTCCCCCTTCCCCTTTCCCCCTTCCCCCTTCCCTTCTCCTTCCCTTTCCCTTTCCCCTTCCCTTTCCCCTTCCCTCCCCTCTCCCCTCTCCTCTCCTCCCCTCCCCTCTCCCCTCTCCCCTCTCCTCCCCTCTCCCCTCTCCTTCCCTCTCCCCTCTACCCTTTCCTCTTTCCTCTTCTCTTTTCTCTTTTCTTCTTTTGAGACAGGGTTTCTTTGTTTAGCCTTGGCTGTCCTTTGTAGAACTGTCTGCCCTTGAACTCCCCCAGCCTCTGCCTCCTGAGTGCTGGGATTAAAGGCATGTACCACCACATTTGGCTGGAATTTTTTTTTTTTTTTAATTATGTGTAGGAGTATGGACATGTGAGTGAAGGTACTCAGGAAAGCCCGAGGCCCTTTATTTACCCCTGGAGCTGAAGTTACAGTTAGTTGTGAGCTGAGCAGCCTGGGTGCAGGGACTGAGCTCAGGTCCTCTGGAGGAGCAGTATGCCTGCTGAGCCGCTGAACATCTCTCCAGCCGAGTAATGAAGTTTTATAGGAGACACCTGACACAGGTGGCCTTCATGAATTTGTAGACTAAAGCAGTTTGCTTCCTGTGGTTACTGTCCAGCGTACTGACTATAGTATTATTAGGTTGAATTTTTACTGACAGAATGTCATGTAGAAAATGAAACTAATGTAATGCTTTTAGCAGAGTGGATCAAGGGTTTGTTGCTGACTTGCTGCAGCTGCCAGCATTTAAGTCTCGCATTATGTGTGCTCTTTGGTATGGGCATCTAGACTTGTATTTCTTGTAATAAACATTTCATCTTTGATTGGATGCTTTGTGTGTAACTCTATAGGGGTTGTTTTATTCTGTCTATAAAGTTTAAAGTGCCTGCCTCCTTAGGCTGCTTCCCTGCTTCCCCCCATTCTTACTGTTCGGTGTTTCTGGGACCATTACCCCAAATCCAGCCAATTCATCTCAACTCTGTCCAGTACTCAGTAAGGGTTCTCATTTGTCTTTGTTTTTTCCAATATCTTAATTTTCATTCTACTTGCTTTTTAAATCTACATGACATGTATATATAAGATCTAAAAGATTACCAAAATTTTTTGTATATATTGTATATAAGCAATATACTCAGTCCCTCTCTGGTAGAGGACTACTTAAAAATTTGTACATTAAATTTTTACTTTAACTACTTCATGCTATTTTTAAAAAAAAAGTTTTCTTTTAGGGCCTAGGATGCAAGGATGCTGTATTTTAGTAAACCAATAATTATATTTAATCATTGATTGGTTTTAAGTTGATTGGGGAATAGAATTTTTTTTTCTTTTTATAACCATGTATATATACTTTAATAAAAAGAACTACCATATTTTCTAGTGAATTTTAGTCCCTGGTGTGAATTATTTGTTTGCCTGTGACAGGCTGAAAGTTCAAGTGTCTGTTTGTAGGAGACTGAGGCATGGGCCTTGACCATGAACAGCCCTCCCATCTTTGTCAGTAAGACATTTGTAAGTCTGATGGGAGTCATTGTTAGTTTTTCATATAGTTAGTCACAGTTATATATTTAGAATTTTCTAATCTCATTAAAAATAATACTAAGATTCGTATTTACTTTTTTCACATTAGGTAATAAAATAGACTTGGAAAAGGAGAGACATGTTTCCGTTCAAGAAGCAGAATCGTAAGTGTCGTGCCTCCCGTTCCCACTGCTCCCCAGTGCAGCGAGCCCTTACTGTGTGCTGTGAGAGTTAGCTCACACACCAACCAGGGGCTGAACTCCTGTTCTCAGGAAGCGCATCTGTACTTCAGAGGAAGATGTTTTACTTGCAGTTTCTCTTGATTTTACTAAAAATGAAAGAATAATGTGAGTGAAAGCTATCAAGATTAGATGGCAGGGGAATCACAAAGACAAAGTATTTGAGTTCCAAATTAGTATGTAAAATTTCAAATCCTGTTGTGATTTTTCCTTTCTAAATTTGGTTCAATATATAGATAAATTAAATAGCTAAATAGTCTTAATGTAGCTAAATTGGTTAAGTCAGTAAAGATAAATTTAATCACAAAAATTGCTATTGCAGAAATGTCAGTGATTGATTTTTTTTTCTCTCTTTTAAGGTATGCAGAGTCTGTGGGAGCAAAACATTATCATACTTCTGCTAAACAAAACAAAGGAATTGAGGAACTCTTTCTTGACCTTTGTAAAAGTACGTATGTTCACATTAGCATATTTTAAAATGGCTCTTTAAAAACTGTTATTAATGTTTGTAGCCAGGAATTGTAGTACACACCTTCAAAGTACTGTTAATTTTTTAAAGTGATATTTTGCCAATTTCTGTTAATGAAAACAGGAAAAAAATTGAGATCAACTGTATTAGTGTTACTTGGTATTCTTTCAGTTCATGTTTTAAAACCATAAGGACTTTTATATCTTAAGCAATAACCAATGGTTTCTTAAGTCACTTGTTTGATGTGTACTAAACATGTTTAAAATGTATGTGTGATTATTTTTTTAAAAGGAAGGAGAATTTGTGTCTTAAAACACATTCAAGAAGCTTACTCTATAATTACATATGAGGACCTGAGTTTGAGTCTCAGCACCCACAGACCTGGTGGCATGGGTTCATAAACTCTTTCCCCACTCCCAGTCTGTGGAGTTGGATCCCTGGGGCCAGCCTAACCTAACTGAATTAGCAAGATCTCAATCCTAGTCAAAAACCTCTCAGAGAATAAGGGGCTTGATCCCTGGCCTACCACACACTTTTTTTTTCTTTTTTTTTTTTAATGAAAAAGGAGAACCCACATCTCACTATAGTGTCTGTCACACCCCAGCTTGAGAACTATTCTTCATGAGTTGTCCCTTAGACACAGACTGAACTCTTACTGTTTTAAAGACTGCCTCTCTCTTCTTTCATCTTGTTGACTATGTATTATGCAAAACTTCCCTCCCAGCCAGTATCTTAACTTTAGTTCTTGTAAACTGTTTCTCAAACAGGAGATGTTTACATTTCAGTAAGGTTCAATTTTGGGTTTTTGTTTTGTTTTGTTTTGTTTTGTTTTGATTTATGAATTTGTGATGTTTGTCCTATATGAGAACTCTTGCCTGGTTCATGCCTTTCATCCCAGCACTCGGGAGGCAGAGGCAGGCAAATGTCGGAGTTAAAGGTCAGCCTGGTTTACAGAATAAGTTCCAGGACAGCCAGGGCTACATAGAGAAACCTTGTCTCCAAAAACGGGGTGGGGGGAAGAAATCTTTATCTAAGCCAAAAATTACAAAAATCTCCCTATCTTCCATCTGTTCTACTTCTCTGAGATAAAAACTCACTTAGCCCAGGTTCCCCTTGGACTGTATATGTAGCAAAGACTGTCTTTGAACTCACGCTTACTGCCTCCACCTGCCAAGTGATAATATAGGAACCTGCTGCCATCATCTAGCTGTTCACACTCACAATTCATGGGGCTGGGATGCTATTGTTTTGTTTCTCACCATGTGACCCTGGATGGCCGAGACACTCGGAAATCCACCTGCCCTTGTCTCCTGAGTGCTAGAATTAAAGTTGTGCACCACCATACCCAATTCATGTAGTTTCACACTATGTACCATACATGTATATTTGTCTCACTTACACACATATATATGTGTATGTAAGAGGGTTTTTTTTTTTGGGGGGGGGGGGGTTTTTTTTTTTTTTTTTTTTTTTTTAAGATTCATGCGTGTGCGTGCGTGCATGCATGCAGAGGGAGGCCAAAAGAGAGTTTGGCCTCTTTTCTATCATTTTCCACCCTTTTCTTTAGATATTATACAGTGTTCTGCCTGCATGTGTCCCTGTGCACCAGAAGAGGGCATCAGGTCTCAAGATAGAAGGTTATGAGCCACCATTTGGTTGCTGGGACTTGAACTCAGGACCTTTGGAAGACCAGGCAATGTTCTTAACCTCTGAGCCATCTCTCCTGCTCCCGTATATTATTTTTAATAACATGATTTTGTGCGTGGGAAAGTATGTAGGGATGATTATACGTGTTGGAGGAAGCCAGGGGAGTTGTTAGCTTCCAGATGTGGGTGCTAGTTCTTCTGTAACAGCAGTATCGCACCACTAACCACTGACCCATCTCTCCAGCCCCTCAAATATCATTTTCTTAAATAAGTCCTGCGCCCTAAATTTAATCTCTTATCCTAGGAATAACTTGAACTTTAATCTGTTTCTGTTATTTTTGAAAATCTTGAGGATTTATTCAAACATAAAACAACTGTTCTCTATAATTGTTACTCAGAGTTGTGGCCGTCATAACATAGGATATTAACCTTTCTATATTCTAGTTTTCCAAACTGTTCTTGAGTGGAATAGTGTTCATGATGTGCCCTGAGAGACTGTTGATGGGAAGGCAGCTGTCCTGCAAAATGTTGAAGTTGCAGGAAGAGAAAATAAGGACCGTGGGTCTGCTCATGTTTGCTTTCTTCTTTCAGGAATGATAGAAACAGCGCAAGTGGATGAGAGGGCAAAAGGCAATGGCTCCAGTCAAGCCGGGGCTGCTCGGCGAGGCGTGCAGATCATCGACGATGAACCTCAAGCTCAGAGCGGCAGTGGAGGATGCTGCTCTTCCGGATAACAGCTCACGCCTATGAAACTCAAAACAAAACAGAACTGTGGATCATTGCCCTGAACATGAAGACTGCCATATTCCAAGTCACATCATTTTACCAATGGAGTTATAGAATTAACAGTATTTTCAATTACGTTTATAACACTGCAGAGACCTTAAGTGCTAAACTTAGTGGAGTTTGTGACCAGAGAATTGGCATTTTCTACAAATGTTAACAAAGCAATTACCAATGGCCTTTTTACATATTTTTTCTTTAATGAGGAATAATATGCATGTAGAAAAGACCTACTTAAAGGCTTCATTTATATTCTTTTAAATCAGATCTTTATTTAATAACTTATATATGATGTTGGAATGGTATACATTTTTGCAGTCCTTTGTATTTTGTGGTAGTTTGAATTGTATCACTTATAAACAGCATACTGTTTTTGTTTTTGTTTTTGATTAGCAGATACCTGAAGTTCTATTTTTGCAGGGTTTGCACAGGCCCCTAACTGTCTACTACTTTGATATAATCTATAAACATCCTGTATGCTGAGCTGGTAAAATACATTGTAAATTACATATTAAATATTTTATCTGCTTTTACAAGCGCAAGGTGCAAAAACATATACAGTTGTCTTATTAATGACTGTAAAGTGAATTAACTGTTGCTGATAATGCCTAAGCTTTTGACTCTGTTAATCACCTTCCTTCACTTTGTCTTAATGTGAAAGTGGCGTGTTTAAATTTTCATACTGTACTTGAATTGTTACTGTTGTCACTCTTTTCCTTTTCTTTTTTTTTCTTTTTCTTTTTTTCTTTTTTTGCCTCTGTAAGTCCCAGCAATCAAAAAGCAACATTTGCCTTTTTATTATTATTGTGATTAAACACAATTCCTTCTGCCAATTTTGTTTTAGAACAGTTACCTTAGAAGAATTTGAGTAGAGCTCGCCAAGTTTCACTTCTGCAACAGCTCAAGTTTTCTGTGGGGCTTTCCACGAGATGGGTTTACTGGCCTGAGAGAAGAGGGTCTCTGATAGTAGCCCGACCGAGGCTTATTTATAGAGTATGTGAGTGATACCTTAAGCTCCTGAGGCAGCACTCTTGGATCCCTTGTAAGGAATAAATATAGAAAGTTGTATTTCATTTTATAAGAGTTATTCTGAGTTTCTGTAGGAAGAAGCATTCTGTAATGCAGTTTCAGCAAACACTGGAAAGATTTATTATAAAATCATAATCTTGTTTATTTTGCAATTAGTCCCACATTAGATATTTTTTCTCTTTAGCATTGGGCTGAAATTTGTTCATTTAAGAAAGAATCAGGCACTGCTCACAGATAAAAAACATTGTGGAAATTAACAAATTGTTCTTGTTCTAATTATATATATATATATTTCCCATTTCTGTCATGCTTGGAAAACTAGTAAATGTGTGTAAGATAAGATGGAGTGGTCCCTGGATTTACTTCTAGGAAGTAGAATACAGTAACACATTTACCAAGCGTTTCTGAAGATGACAGGAGGTGATGGTCACTGAGCGAATGCTTCCATATTCTTAGGAGTAGGCTTAATCTTCTCAAATAGCCTCAAAGTTTGAATGGCTTCCACCTTACTATCTAAATAATAGGACTTTAACTTAGCATTGTGTTCTCTGAGTCCTGTCTTTAGATCATGGACTTACTGACCTTGCCAAATTCAAAACACTGACCTTTTCCCTGTGTGCCTAATGATGGTCAGAATGGAAGAGTCAAGGAAGTGAGCAACAGTTGTGTCCCATTACCGGGTGACTAGGCTGTGCCACGCTGGGTTTCCTGTGAAGCTGCTGTTCACGAAGGGGCAGCCAAAAGCATGAGTCACTGGAAAATGTTTTCCTAGCTTCTGGCTTTTTAGGACTAGAGACTGCTGCCAATCCTGCTGTTGTAGATAGGAAATATACTCTCATTGGAGTAGAATACTGTTTTCAAACGAGAGATGAAATTAAAACAAGTTGAACTTGATTGTCGGAGAGCTGCACTTGAGTGTTTCCCTCTCGGTTGTCTCAAGTCCATTTGGGAGCCTCTGCTGTGCAGTGGCAGATAATTATTGTTGAGGTAGGAACTGTCCTCCATTTCCTTTGCCACCTCACTTCACTCTCTCCTACTCTATGATTCATGCTAACAGTAACAAAGATAGGTCATACAGTATACCTGCTGTGCTCTGAAGCATGAAAGATCTTAAGTTGAATGCGGTGAAAGAAAACTAGAAAGGACCAGTCAGCTGCACGTGTGTAAAAGGGAAAGCTAAGTAGTGACGGACTGAGGTTAACGTTTTCCTGGTGCTGGCTTCTATTACATCTCTGTGTTCCTATCCTAATAAGTGTGCTATTAGGAAAAGGCACAAGGCATGACGGCGTTGTGTTGAGAGCAGTTGCTAGATGGGACTTTCCACAGTGTATGTATACATGTCATCTAAATTAAGGTTGCTTTGAGACAGTCCTTGGTATCACCGTTACGATAAGTATGCAGCCACAGTTTCTGTAATGAGTATCCTGCTTGCATTGCTTTATGATTATATTTTTAAAATGTGTTCTGCAACATTTTGGGGGAAAACAGTTACTGAGAAAAGATTATCATGTTCTATGAAATACACATGCTTATGTTTGGAGTGACTCCTAAGAATACCGCGAAGTTATGATTGTTACTGTATTATTGGAATCTTTTATACATATTAGCTCTAAATTATTAGTTTAGGGTTTTTTTTGGGGGGGTGTTAGAGAACAATAATGTTTCTTCTCTCCCTCCTTCCCTCTCTTTCTCCCTCTCTCGCCCTCTCCCTCACTCAGTCCTTCCCTCTTTCTCTTCCCCCCACTTGGTTTCCAGTAATAAAAGATAAAGTTGAAGAAATAAGAGAAGTCACATAATAAGACTATATACCCCAACAATGTTGATAATCACTTTGACAAATACATTGCTTTTATCAAATAGTTTCTAAATAAGGCAAGATGCACATTATATGCCAAATAATTTGAGCACTTAAAAAAGTAGTATATAGTTTATAATTTTCTTGTAGTATATTTTTCTTGTATATAGTTTATGATTTCCTATTTTATAAATGCTATCAGGCACCATGGGTCTTCTGTGTTGAAGATAATGTAGGTGAAATTTGCAAAGATTAATTATATTATCTCTTGATGTAGTTTGATCCCTTGTTTTCCAAGTTTATCTTTTGACTTTCTTGTGACCATTTTGAATTTTGAGATTGTCTAGGAGAGGCTTAGATAGTGACCAATAGGAAGCTCGCAATCATGGATGAAGAGACTACTGGCTGAGTTGATCTTTGCATACTTTCCTAAGTTACAAAGCAGGTTTATATTTCATATTTTCCCAGGTTTTCAGAATTAAAGCTCAGATTCACCGAGTTGCATGTACTTGGTTTAGTCATAGGCTACTATGTTGCTATTGTTCATTAGCACCTGTGACAGTAATACATTTGGTGTTGCCAGCAGCATAACCTTTTTGATGGCCTTTCTTTTCAAGAAAGCCAGTTAATTACAGTTTTAAGCATAATTTTTCTGATTGCATTTTAGTATTATAATATTGGGGTGGGGTGGACTGGCCTCAGACTTGCTGTAGCTGAGGATGACAGTGAGTCCCTCCGGATCCTGTCTCCTGAGTTCTGTGCGCCACACAGTTTCGTGCACTGGGGAATCCAATCTGGAGCTTTGTGCATGCCAGGTCAACGCGCCAGTGAGTTTCATGCCTTATCCCCAAGTTCTGCATTCCTTCGAGAGGTCCCTGTTGCAAGCAGAAACAAGTAGCTTAGAGTTGGGCAGAGCCTAAGCCCTGCCAGCGCTTACCCAGGACGTGTTGTGTGCCATCTTTGCCAAGAGACCGTGTGACCCACCTTTCCAGCTCTTCTCTCACTTTTGCATTTATTGTCTTTGTTTATATTTTTGTGGACACCTGTGAGCCGTAGCACATACGTAGAGTCAGTTCTGCCACCAGGGTGCTGGAGAGCAAACCCAGGTAGTCAGGCCTTTACTTGCTGAGCAGTCTTGCCAAATATCTTCCCTTTTAAAGTTTGTAACTGTGCGTTACTGTTTTGTCTGCATGTGTGTCTGTGTGCCACACGCATACCTGGTGGCCAGGCAGGTCAAAAGAGGGTTGTCGGAGTTTGCGGACTGGAATTAACACATGTGAGGAGCCATCGTTTGGGCGCTGGGAACTGAGCCTGGGTCCTTCACAAGAACAGCCAGTCTGGGCTATGTGATGCCCTTTCTTGGACCTTCATCCGCTGAATGCTACAAGCTGGAAGACAGTAGTTGACTTGTTTGTTTATGAGGCAGGGTTTCTTTGGGTAGCCCTGACTGTCCTGGACCAGGCTGGCCTCGAACTACCACTGCCTGAGTGGTAGTTGCCTTTTTTTTTTTTTGAGACAAGGTTTCTCTGTGTAGCCTTGGCTGTGCTGGACTCGCTTTGTAGACCAAGAACTCAAACCGATTGGCCTGCCTTTGCCTTTGGGTGCTGGGATTAACGGCGTGCACCACTAAACCTGGCTGGGGGCCGACTTTTTAAGCTGCCTTTATTTCCAGTATATCAGTTCTCTTAATTTTGATATTTCTGGCAACCATGTCATCTCTTCATTATGAAGTATTCAAGCGCTAATGTGTTTTACTTGCGTTTGAACAGGGGAAGAACAATGTATGGTAAAGAGCAGGATAAAACTACAAAGTTGGAAAGAAGAAACTAATCCTTGATGAAGCTGATTTTGCTAGCAAGCTATTTTGAGAAAACTATCATAAAACAGGCTTAGGGAATTAAAATTTAATGTAAATTATATCTTACTATACATATATTTTGCAACTTTTTTCTTGTACCAGTGTGCCTAGGAATGCTTCAGTAAATACTGTTTTGTTTTGTTTTTTTTTTTAATCATTTTTATGTGTATGGGTATTTTGCTTGTATGTATATCTGCACCACATGCATGCCTGGTGCCTGGAGATGCCAGGGAGATGCTTTGGTTTTCCTGGGACTGGAGTTATAGGTAGTTAGGAACCACTATGTGGGTACTGGAAATTAAGCCCCAGTCCCATAGAAATGCATTCCCTTAACCATCTCTCCAGCCCTTGTTTTCTCTGACAACTCTGGGTATTTTTTTTTAAACCTTTTTAGTTTTTTTTTTTTTTTTTTTTTTTTTTAAGCTTATTTCACAAAAACCTCCGCAAAAGAATTTTGTCAATTAGGTGGATCTCATTGATAGACAAGTTAAATGCAAATGACTGTTCAAAGTATCTCCTCTAAGTGTGTGAATCAGGAAACTAGAAACTGCCTACAATTCACTTGCAGTTCTTGACTTTGGGCTTGGAGTTTACTTGGAATATGGTTTTTATTTGAAAGGGAAAGAATAGTTGATGGGGTAAGAGTAGAGGATAAAGAAAAACAAATACATCGGTCTCTGTGGTGCATGCCTTTAATCCCAGCACTCAGGGAGGCAGAGGTAGGCGGATCCCTGTGAGTTTAAGGCCAGCCTGGTTTACAAAGTGAGTCCAGGACAGCCAAGGATACACAGAGAAACCCTGTCTTGAAAAACCAAAAGGAGGAGAAGGGAAGACAGGGAGGGAGGGAGGGAGGGAGGGAGGGAGGGAGGAAGGAAGGAAGGAAGGAAGGAAGGAAGGAAGGAAGGAAGGAAGGAAG